CAATCTATTATTATTATTATTATTATTATTATTATTATTATTATTATTATTATTATTATTATTATTATTCTCAGGATAAGGAGACAATGAGAGGTGAAGCTGTCAAAATTTAAGCCAAAGCCTGGCCGGTTTAACTCCCAATTCTGTTAATCTATGCTTTTGCCGCTGTACTCACGTTTTCAATGCACCTGTATTAACACTAAGTCTCTCTCTCTCTGGTCGCACACTAAGCACATCAGCCAGTGTCCTTTTATGGGCGTGCAAAGTTGTCACACACACACCGCCACACAGACTCATGTTTTTCTGTTTCTCTCTTTCCTATTTCTACAGGCTAATCAAACTCTTGTTATTGACTTGAGGTCTGGCTCTTTGGCAGAGATTTAAAGTTATTTGCACCCTTGTAGGTGGGAAACATTGCGCTACTCTGGCAGAGAGATGTGTAGTGGAGTCCACCGCCACTGACCAATATTTATTAGGGTGTGACGTAGGGCTGGGCCATATCATACCATTCACGTTAATACCGGTATAATGTTGGGCAACGACAAGAAAATGAAATATTGCGATAGAATATGGGTAAAACGCGTATGCGCAGTGCCTTTGTTTTCATACGCACATGGCGAAAAAGGCACGGCGGCGATGGAGAATGACAAGGGCGAAAGCGGACTGTTGAATGGAACGGATGAACCAGAATTGGTTTGTAAATGTAGGGCATTAACAGGGAGAGGTGGGCACAAGGAAATACTTTTCTTTCTTATTCTCATTTAAAATGTCTAGCTTTTAAAAAATAATTATCTGAATCTTACAACAAACGATTGATAGATTGATGCATATATACCAATAAAACAGTGTACATCACTGTCACAACAGCGTTTGTTTTCATTCAAAGGCTTTAAGATTTTTCCTATAATGGTGGGCCAGTCTCTAGTCAAAATGCCCGGGCCAATTTTCTGTCCCAGTCCAGACCTGTATGCAGCTCATCTGCAGTCTGGTGTTGCCTACATCTTCCTATTCAGAAGGCAGAATTTCTGAGTACAATCGAAAGCACCACGACTGCAGTTTTTGTGTTGGATGTAAAAGGCGCACATGACGCTGTGACGTAGGCTAGAATCATGGCAGCAGTCAATGACGGTCCAGGTGTGGGATTTCTCTCGTGGAAATATGCACATTATCTTTTCCTTTCTATTGGTAGGTGGCACAGTGCACTTGTGGCAAGTAAGCAAGCTAGAAGACTGGCAAAGTTATGGAAGAAACACATTAACAAGAGAATTCTGAGTAAAACCAAAGTTACTTTCCCAAGTAACTAGTTACTTTGAAAGTAACCAGTAACTTGAAGTAACTGAGTTACTTTTGAGAGAAGTAACTAGTAATGTAACTAAGTTACTATTTTAAAGTAACTTACCCAACACTGAATATGGCACACTTAAAATCAATCCTTTGATTTTTCTGAAATATAAATCTAGAAATATATATCTTATAATCCTGTGTGCCTTATGTTTGAATTCTGGTTGTGTTTACTGACTGATGTTTTAGTACGACTTTGCTAAGCTACAAACCTGCACCACTTGATGGATTGTCAGTAGGCAGGAGCCTCGCGGAGTGATATGTACTGTGCTTCAACATAATGTTACCGTATTGCGTGTATATAAGCTCTTTTTAAGTTTTGTGGATATTATACACGGTTATGCTGAGGATATGTTGGCTAATTTCCACTGGAAATGCCTTTTGATTAAACTGTCAGCAAGGAATTTGCATTTGCACTGTTACATTTTTATATAACTTTAATGTAAAAAACAGCTGCTTGTTTAAGTGAAAATACATTGATGGTTTTTTTTGCACTAATAAAATTGTGGAGTTGTAAAGTATTTTGTCTAGTGTCAATTATATCGTCAGTTATATCGTTATCGCAAATTTTCAAATGTATATCGTGATAAATATTTTTGGTCATATCACCCTGCTCTAGTGTGACGCGAACTTGTGGACAGGTAATGAAAGCAAAATAATTGGAGAGATACTCCCGCTGCGTTTTACTGTCTAGCATAAGTGATCTCCTGCTTTTATTTACAGAGTACAGAGCTGCTGCTTTGCCGAGTGGATTTCTGGCTGCGGGCTGAGGACCCGATACAGCGGTGTATTTTAATTTGTTTTAACCTGGTGTAATCTGACATATTGTGGCGGCTGCGGCTGTCAATTTTGTTTGGGTTTTATTTTTAAAATTAAACCCATTTTAACCGACTGGTATACATGTGTGACCCGTGGGTCACACAGCAGATTTAGGAAATGGCCTTGAAACACTTCATTGTATCTTGATCACAAGTAATATACAGCAGATTAAGTAGAGAGAGAAATTTAGAAAATCAAAGGGACAAAGGGAAACAAATAAACAATAAATAAATATAATTGTGCTTCTTTCTTTTATTTACAAAGCATGCTTTGCTATTATTACAAGGACTCCTTTGTTTCACCTACTTGGTATAAACTAAAATCCAGACATATACATACATGGAAAACAATATGCATATAACACATATTTAAAATAAATATTATAAATAATATTAAGTATTGAACTGACACAATTGTCTATGCCAACAAACAAAGAAGTCTTGCATACTTATTCCAAGTCTGCTTCAACAATACTCTATTACCTTTTTTCATTTCAACAGTGATTTCTAAACAACTCAAATCTCGAAAAGGTTTGTGACATCATATGTTTTTTTGTTTGTTTTTGTGTTATTCAGACTTCAATGAAAGGTAAAGAGAAGGAGTCCAAGCAGCAGATGGATCATTCCCAGTCTGATGGAACAAGCATCACTTTTGGTTGTGGAGGCAGTAGTTGTACTTGATCCTGCAGTTGAAGTTGTAGTTGGGGTAGTGGTTGTAATTTTAGTGGTTGTAGTTGGGGTAGTGGTTGTGGTAGTTGAGGCAGTGGGTGTAGTTGGAGTGGTGGTTGTAGTTGGTGTAGTGGTTGTAGTTGTAGCCGTGGTTGTAGTTGGTGTAGTGGTTGTAGTTGTAGCCGTGGTTGTAGTTGGTGTAGTGGTTGTAGTTGTGGCCGTGGTTGTAGTTGTGGTGGTTGTTTTTGAGGCGGATGTTGTAGTTGGGGTACTGGATGTAGCTGTAGTTGGGGCGGTGGTTATAGTTGGGGTAGTGGATGGAGTTGTAGTGATAGTAGTCGGGGTGGTGGTTATAGTTGGGGTAGTGGATGGAGTTGTAGTGATAGTAGTCGGGGTGGTGGTTGTAGTTGGGGTGGTGGTTGTAGTTGGGGTGGTGGTTGTAGTTGGGGCGGTGGTTGTTGTTGGAGCGGTGGTTGTTGTTGAGGCGGTGGTTGTAGTTGGGGTGGTGGTTGTTGTTGGTGTAGTGGTTGTAGTTGCAATGGTAGTTGTTGTTGAGGCGGAGGTTGTAGTTGGGATGCTTGTTGTTGAGCTGGTTGTTGTAGTTGGAATACTGGATGTAGCTGTAGTTGGGGCGGTGGTTGTAGTTGTACTGGTTGTAGTTGGGACTGTGGTTGTAGTTGTAATGGTTGTCGTTGGAGCGGTGGTTGTAGTTGTAGTGGTTGTCGTTGGAGCGGTGATTGTAGTTGTGGTGGTTGTTGTTGGGTTGATGGTTGTCGCTGGGGTGGTGGTTGTTGTAGCATTAGTTGTAGTTGGGGTGGTGGTTGTAGTTGCAGCGGTGGTTGTGGTTGTGGTTGTACTTGCGGCGGTGGTTGTAGTTGGGGTGGTGGTTGTGGTTGTTGTTGCGGCGGTGGTTGTAGTTGGGACGCTGGTTGTAGTTGGGGTGGTGGTTGTAGTTGCAGCGGTGGTTGTGGTTGTAGTTGCAGCGGTGGTTGTGGTTGGGATGGTGGTTGTGGTTGCGGCGGTCGTTGTAGTTGGGGTGGTGGTTGTGGTTGTAGTTGCAGCGGTGGTTGTAGTTGGCACGGTGGTTGTAGTTGTTGTTGGGGTGGTTGTTGTAGTTGCGGTGGTGGTTGCAGTTGTAGCTGGGACGGTGGTTGTTTTCGCGGCGGTGGTTGTAGTTGCGACGGTGGTTGTTGTTGGGGTGGTGGTTGTAGTTGCAGCAGTGGTTGTGGTTGTAGTTGCGGCGGCTGTTGTAATTGGGGCGGTGGTTGTAGCTGGGGTGGTGGTTGTAGTTGTGGATGTGGTTGTAGTTGGGACAGTGGTTGTGGTTGCGGCGGAGGATGTAGTTGTAGCTGGGATGGTGGTTGTTGTTACAGCGGTGGTTGTAGTTGTGGCGGTTGTTGTAGTTGGGGCGGTGGTTGTGGTTGCGGCGGTGGTTGTAGTTGTAGCTGGGATCGTGGTTGTGGTTGCAGCGGTGGTTGTAGTTGCGGCAGTTGTTGTAGTTGGCGCGGTGGTTGTAGTTGTCGTTGGGGTGGTTATTGTAGTTGCGGTAGTGGTTGTAGTTGTAGCTGGGATGGTGGTTGCAGCGGTGGTGGTGGTTGCGGCGGTGGTAGTAGTTGGGGTGGTGGTTGTAGTTGGGGTGGTTGTTGTAGTTGCGGCAGTTGTGGCAGTTTCCGCGGTGGTTGTAGTTGGGACGGTTGTTGTAGTTGTGGCAATTGTTGTAGCTGTAGCTGGGACGGTGGTTTTGGTTGCAGCAGTGGTTGTTATTTCGGCGGTGGTTTTAGTTGCGGCAGTGGTTGTAGTTGGGACATTGGTTGTGGTTGCTGCGGTGGATGTAGTTGTGGCTGGGACGGTGGTTGTTGTTACAGCCGTGGTTGTAGTTGCGGCGGCTTTTGTAGTTGGGGCGGTGGTTGTAGCTGTTGGTGTGGTTATGGGTGTAGTTGCGGTGGTTGTAGTTGCGGTGGTAGTAGTTGCGGTGGTTGTAGTTGCGGCGGTGGTTGTAGTTGGGATGGTGGTTGTGGTTGTAGTTGTAGCTGAGATGGTGGTTGTGGTTGCAGCGGTGGTTGTAGTTGCGGCGGTTGTTGTAGTTGGGTCATTGGTGGTGGTTGTTGTTGGGGTGGTGGTTGTAGTTGCGGCAGTGGTTGTAGTTGGGGTAGTGGTTGTGGTTGCGGTGGTGGATGTAGTTGTAGCTGGGACGGTGGTTGTTGTTACAGCGGTGGTTGTAGTTGTGGCGGTCACCTCAGTAGTGATGAAGTGCTTTGAACGCCTGGTCAGAGACTTCATCA